CTGTCCAGGGTGCATCACACTTTTGGCCCTGGCGTGTAAGACGCATGTGGGCGCGGGAGGCGTTGGCAAGCCCAACACGATCTGCGTCAACATTGCGATCTCTGCGTGCGCAAAGGCTGCGCCGATCTGCCCCTGCGAGACGCCCCGCCGCGCGCGCGCAGACGCACACTTCGCGGACAGGCAGGCAGAGGCGGGCTCGCACATCTTGACGTCGAAAGCCGCACGGTTCTCCTTGCGCGCTTGCACGGGAGTGTTTCCAGCGATTCGGTTTAGCCGCTCAACCGAGTCGATCGTCCACCATTCTTTCTCCACTTCCTGCGTCATGTCGATCGAGTCGACAGTACAATGCGTCAGTACGAAAACTAACCCCAGACGGCACATGGACAAATAATGCACCACCAGGTGATTACGACCTTACGCGTCGTTTTTGATATCGAGATTTGTTCTTACAGTCCCTCCTCGAGCTGTCACATTGGTTACGGCTCGGATCGCCAAATCAGATCCTTGGTGCAACATTCCGTCGCTCGCCGGGCAAATCCCAACATATCGATACACCTATATCTATATACATATATATATCCGTAAGGGCTTCGCCCCCTGCCGCCGGCCCCCTCTCTCGGAGAATGGCCATGGAAGAGCAGGTTTTGGACCCTGACCCCGCGGATCTGCGTGAGGGGTGGCACCGAATTTCAGAAATGTGCAAATCCCCTTTGTTTTTGGACCCTGACCCCGCGGATCTGCGTGAGGGGTGGCACCGAATTTCAGAAATGTGGCAAATCCCCTATGTTTTTGGACCCTAACCCCGCGGATCTGCGTGAGGGGTGGCACCGAATTTCAGAAATGTCGCAAATCCCCTGTGTTTTTGGACCCTGACCCCGCGGATCTGCGTGAGGGGTGGCACCGAATTTCAGGAATGTGGCAAATCGCCTGTGTTTTTGGACCCTGACCCCGCGGATCTGCGTGAGGGGTGGCACCGAATTTCAGAAATGTGACAAATCCCTTGTGTTTTTGGACCCTGACCCCGCGGATCTGCGTGAGGGGTGTCGATTTTGAACCCCCCCAGCAGTTCAGACAACGCGCCCAGGTGGTGCTAAAAATCTGGTTTGGGCCTCCCTCCCCTCGCGCGGTCAATCAACTAGTTACAGTAACCAGCAAGAAGCAGAACTGTAACACTGGAAACTACAAACTACAACTGGTACAGGAAACTGCGAATCACGGGCCTACAGCCTGGTGGCCCCACAAGGGGGCCGGCGGATATACCTCTCTAAATAAAGTCGTAAGGGTTTCGCCCCTTGCCGCGGGCCCCCCCTCTCTCGGAGAATGGGGTATGCAAGAGCTGTGTTGTAAGGCCTGTTCGCCGTCTTGAAGCAGCGTCGGAACTCCGAACGGTGGCAATGTGAGATATCCTGGTGCATGTTGCGTACTCTTGCTTCAGAGACGCGAGCCCTCGTAATTTACGAGGGAGCGCGAACACAGCGTACTTTACGAGGGTGCATGGCCTCGGGGACCTGACTCCCGTGAAATCTACTAGGGATTGCAGCCTGGAGGCCGCGAGTAGGGCGTAATGTTTGAGGTATTCTAGTTTCGGGGGCGCGAGTCTCATGTATTTTTACTTGTCCCAGGACCCACCAGACACCAGTGCCCTTTTCGGCCTCCCCCCTCGTGCGGACTTCAACAATTCACAGTAGGAGGCAGAACAGAGAATTGTTACGTCGGAGACTGGAACTGGAACAGAGAGCAGCAAGCCTAATCCGCAGAGCCTGATGGCCCCACACGGGGGCCGCCAGATTGTTCTCCCATGTGGGCAAAGTTGCATTCCACGAAGGGGGGGTGATGCAGAAGCACGCGTGTGAAGTCCAGCGTAACGTGATGCAACTTTCTATCGACGTGCGGTGCCAGCCCCGTACCGAGGGGACGCAGCGACCCCCAGGGTGGCAGTCATTGCCCATAGGGGGCCCGAGGGCCCGCTTCGCCCAGGACCGTGCGGCTCCGCCATCGAGGGGCCTATAGCCCCGATCCATCGGCGATGTGTCGTCGATGCCAGCTCGATGTCTTCCCGCCTGAATTCGCCAGCCTCGAGCTTATCCCTATCCCTAAGATTGGCGCGCCAAAGAGCGATGACCATCCTAGGGATGCGCCCTCAAAAGATAAGGGAATCCCTGAGATTGGCATCGTGATGAGGAGATGCCCAGCATAGGGATAGGGATATGTTCCAGGCTGGTAACGCAGCAGTTCCCCTTCTCGTTTCCACTCGCTGTCGCCGCCGCACGAAATATCGCCCCCATCCCACGTCCTGTCGGAGCTCGGCGGCCCATGGCCCGAGGAGGCCGAGTCGCCCCGCAGCGCGACGAGTGCGCTTGCCCACGTCCTCGGCTTCTGGTCAGCGGTCTCTTCGAAAGCCCCGCCCCACGGTGGCGGTGCTCCACTCGTCACGACGGTGGAGGTGAGGCTGCCAGCGCCCCCCAACCTCTTGTTCGGATGCAGCTCCTGGGATGTCAAAGTCTGACGTTCCCCTGGTCCGAAATCTGGCTTAAGCCTGCGTCGTCCTGCTTTATCCGGCTCAACCCTGCTTGATCCGCGCCCTAATCTTGCGCAGAAGCACCTTCATCGGGCTCAATTCTCCATAATCCTTCCAGCGAAGACCTCCCAGTAGTTGCTCAGGCCCCCAGAGACCAGGACACAGATAAACCAGGACACGGAAAACCAAGGAAACGACATCCTTTCCTGCAAAGTCACGTTTTTCAGCACCCGTGCATGTTTTGTTTGCTGCACTGCAGGATTCTGGATTGTGTCTGGGTTTAAGGGGGTTTTGCAGGCTTTTGAGGCCTGTGTCCGAATTTATATTGGAAATTCTGCAGTGCAATATTTTGTTCGTGCCGCTGTTTGGAAAAATTGGTTTCGAGGGATGTTGGGTGTCCGGGTCTAGCGTGTCCGGGTCTACGGGGCCCTGAATTGCCTCCTAATTCTTGGGGGGCAAATTCTCTCTTCCCTCGCTGGACCGATGGGGCGACGGGCCCCAGGCGGGCGACGTGGCCAAGGCAGAGAAGTGGCTACTGAAGATGCCGGAGCTCGAGGCCGCGGGGGCCGGGAGTCGCGGCGGACTTCTGTTGTGAGGCACAGGTTCCGGCTTAACAGGTTTTTCAAGCAGTGGCGAAGCGTCTTGGCGTGCCTATAGCCCTACCAAACAATGTTCTAAGAACCTTTTTGTGGTTCCCACGAAATGTTCTTGGAACATTTCTGGTTGAGACTGTTTCGTTTTTGCGCATCGGGTTTATGTTCTAAGCACATTGTTTTTGTTCTTAGAACAAGCTTGGGTTTTAAGAGCATTTCGTAGTATGACTGTAGGACTGCCGGGACGGTCGGCCCCTGCTCAAGTTTTCGGGGCGCATATTTTCGGCATATTTTTCTCGCACACAAATTCGCATCTTTTATGTTTTGATGGACGATTGTCTTTTTGTTCCGCTCGTCGATGCTTTGGTGACAACGCGCTCGCCGCGTGTGCCCCAGGATCGATGCGTTGAATTGGACGGGCGACAGTGTCGCGCAGGTGGCATCGTGGCACGGTTTTGTTCTAAATGCCAGCTCGCGCCTTGTACATGCATTGCGCGGGCAGTGCTTCGGCGGTGGCGGCCTTCAGTGCGACGACAGACACGGCTTCGGGCCGCGCGGGGCCATGGTGTTCATTCTCCCCTCTTTCCTTGTTCCCCCGCGGAGGTCGGCGATGACGCCTCGCCGTGTTTCTATGTTGCCAGGCGCGCGGTAGTCGTGGATTGCGCGCGCTCCCCAAGTAACAGTACAATTGGTGGCGAGTCGGGGCGGCGAGTGGCAGCGCGCAACCTCGCGCGCATCATGGCCCCGGAGAGGGTTGGCGAAGCTCGTTCTTGACTTTGTGCTCTTATTCAATGCGTTGTGGCTTCTCCCCCGCCGACGCGCGGCGAACCCGCAGGACCGCCGTGCCCCGTGGCTCTCTGTGGGCAGCCCACTGCAAAGGGTTGCTTCGGATCAAAACATCCGTGAGTCTCCCTGCTGATTTCCCCTGGTAATTCCCCGGTGGATTTCCCCGTTCATTTCCCCGTTAGTTGTCCGATTAAGTGTCCACGCTCATTTCCCCAATTAATTTCTTGGTTCATTTCCTAGCTAATTTCCTTGCGAAATCTGACGCCAGAGGTGCCGCTCATTGGTCGTGGCGGGCCAGCGCTGCGAAGCCTCAATCCCCGCTTAATAGGTTTTTGTGAATATTTGTTTCTGACCCCAAAAAATGTTTGTCAGCTTTTATTTCCCTTTCTTGTTTGATGGGTTTCTTTTTTCTGCCTAGATGTTGGGGCGAGGGCAGGTGCTCCGTGCGTTCCAGGGGGCCGATGCGTCGAATGCACTCGGTGGTTGTGCACCGAAACAGGCGTCGCGGCACGTCGCGCCCCCCGAACCTCGCCCGAATCTGCGCGAACAGTTCAACGATAGGACAGGCGCGCAAGCTATGCTTGCGCAGATCCATGCGACCAGGCGGGCGAGGGATGCCGCCGATGGCGTCGTCGGGGGCGCCGAAAAGTAGGACGCTGCCGTTCGTGGTGGCGATGATGACCAAGGCCGATGAAGCGGCAATGCCAGCGGCCATGGCTCCCATTGAAGTATGACGTCGTCGACTGACGATTGATATGTTTATATATATATATATATATATATATCGCGGGCACGATCTCGATGTTTAGTTGATTGCCCAGCGAACCTGCGCAGCCATCTGGGGTCTGCCGTGAGCTCGCCGAACTCGTTCCTGACCAGCTCCTCGCTGCCCCGGCGCAGCGCGCGAGGGGGCTGTGAGGGGCCCGACGAGTGGCCAGGCACGGACTTACGGTCTCACTGACCTTCCCCATACAATACCCAGTGACACACCTCCCTCCCGCATACAGGTACGACTATCCATGACTACAGTCAAAAACCCTACGAAGGACGCGCGACTTTAGCTCAGGGTACCCTCGCGCCCTTGCTCCTCCTTGCTCTTGCGTCCTCGGGGTTTTCGTCGTCCGCCGCCCCCAAAATCCCAACCTGGGCTTCCCCAAGGGTCCTGCGCCCTCACCGCGCGTCCTTCTTAGGGTTTTTGACTGTACAGCAAACGCAGCATCGTGACGATGTGCACAGCCGTGGCAGGCGTGTCGCACGCGCTCCCGCAGCGCGCGCTCCTCGCGACTGCGTCGACTTCAGCGCGTCGCCCTCGCGCGCTCGCGCGACGTCAGTTCAGCAGAATTCTGCTGGCGCGCAGCGCCGCGCGCGCGGCGATTGCTCGCGGCGCTTCGTCGGGCGCGCGCACGAGTGCGACGCAGTGCGGCGCGCGTTCGCCACGGCAGGTGCCTTGCGCAGAATGTGTTCGACGCTTTTTCTCGTTTGGGGGGTCGTCGTCGCGCACTTCTCGCTAAAGTTCAAAATAGCAAGCAGTGTGCCTGCAGATGATGGTGCACGATCCTCTGTAGGCCTGTAGTCCGTGCCTGTCCTGCGTTCCGTCCACAGCCATGTCGGTCGCACTCCATGAGGTAGGCGCTCGCAGGTGCTCCTTACGATGTCTCGTAGTTCCGAGGTACTGTCCCAGGATGCTTGGCACAGGTCGTACCCTAAGTTCCTGAGCCCCTGTGGTGCCATCTCCATCGTGATGTGCATGAGCTGGTGGATACGGTGTAGTGCCCAGTCCACGCACCAATCCATGTAATCCCTGCAGGCTGCTTCGATGTTCTCACAGCTGACCCATAATGATGCGATCTGTGCTGCTCGATCTTTGATATTCTGCACGTCTGCTGCTGTGTTATCTTCGTCATGGTATTCGGTGCTCGATCTGCTGGGCCATGTCTGAACCATATCCTGGCGTTTGGTCGTCACTACCTTCAGGTTCTTGTTTTTGATGTTCCTCAGGTATGCTATGGATCCGATTCGCTTCTCCAGGCCACTCTCGTGTACCTTGATCGTCTCCAAGTGCTGATACCGTCTAGGTGTTCACGATCTACTCGTCGGTGTCGATCCTCACCTTCGTCAGACTAGTGATCTCCATCCTGGTGTCCATGTTCGCCAGCTGGTCATTCACGATCTGGATGGCAGTCATGTCCATTGAGCTGTCCATCCAAAACCCGGCCCGTTGTAGAAAACCTCCAGGTCGCCCGTGAAAGCCTCGACCGCCTCTTTGTCCTCCACGCTGTAGGCTGCTCGATGATCCGCCACCTGATGGCCTTGTCTTCTCGAGCTCCGGGTCGCCTTTCCAGTGACCCTTCTTGTGGCATGCGTTGCACTTCGTGCGAGCCTTTATCTTCTTGAGCCTGTTCTTCAGCTTCCTTGCCGTCCATCTTGATGGATCCCTGCTTGTTGACGTTGGCCGTCCAGCCTCGATTGGACTTGCTCTGTGCAAGCCTCTCCCGGGCTTGCTTGTAGTTAGGCTTGTCACCTTTCCGTCCAGCCTTCCACCCGAGACGCTGTGCCTCAGCCGCTAGAGTGTCGCACTCCTCCTGGCTGACCTTTTCGGGGTCGACGTCGTCAATGACCCCCTCGAACTCGCCGATGTCGGCTGCCAGCGCGTCGTAGTCTTCATCGCTCAGAAGCCCGTCCTCGTCGCACACGCCACACTCCTATGCAAGTAGGGCGCCCTCTTCATCATCGTCGTAGTCCACCGGGTATGCTCCATAACGTCCGTGACCACGTCCGTCTCTACACGTCGCGTCCAGCTGGATGAACATCGCCTCCGTCACGTCGTCCCAGATGTACTCGTTGTTGCACTGCCCGAGAATAGCCTTATGCTCGGTCATGCTGATTGGCCAACTTTAGTAGGAAGTACGTCCGCAGGTCTTCGCTCACCGTCGTGTTCGCTGAGAGAGACTTGAGCCGCTCGTACTCCGTCTCCCGCCTCGATATATAGTCCTGCTCTGACTCAAATATGATGCGAAAGTCTTTGAAGAAATACTCCTTGAATGCTTGCTGCTTTTGTAGTGGTGCGATCCGTTCGCAGGCTTGTCGGACCGTGGCCATCAGCATCTTTCTTGTAGCAAGTGGGTTATCACTTGCTTTGTCCAGCACTGCTTGCGTCGCAATCTCGGGCCTCTTCCTTGTGAGGTTCCACGCTTGCCCATTCAGAGAGTTCTTGAGCTTGATCGCGTAGAGCTTCTGCAGCTCCTCCTCGCTCGCATAGTAGCCGAGTATTGCGCGCTCTTCGAACTTCTCGCCGTAGGCTGGGTCGCCGTTGTAGTGTACGACGCCCTCCCTGTCCACGAAGAGGGGTCCTTCGTTGGGATGCTGTTGCCGGGTCGCCATCTTTTCTGTGGTGATGGTGTTGCCGTCTCTGATGATAGTGTTGTTGTCTCTGATGATGGTGTTGCCGTCCAGCTCGTAGTAGATGTCGTTATCACTGCTGCTGCCCGGGTCGTGGCAACGATTCTCGGCCAGGCTGCAAGTGATGATGGTCAGCGTGCTGATCGCTGAAAGAAGTGCGAAGTGGTAAAGCACTACGAGAGTCTTGAGCGCCAGCATAGATCTGCACGGCCACTCACAATCTGGATCTCGCAACCGTACAACTGATACAGCTCCGCTATCAGTGTAAATACTGATCACAATATCCCTCCCACCAAGCACTTGATGCAAGCACAAGATAAGAGAAATAACATCAATTACCTAACATCGAAGACTGATAGGTTTCTAATGGGGTAAAAAGAGAGCAGCACATTACTCCACAGGGGGGTCTGGGCAGCCGTTGGGGACGAGTTGGGGTTTGCCGGCGGGGATCGTTTTTCGCATACAGTCACACACTTCGTGCTCTTCGACCTCCCAGAACTCCATTCCCGGGCCACATTCTGAATGCCCGGAGCCAACTGTAGGCCACTTCGTGCTCTTCGACTTCCCAGAACTCCATTCCCGGGCCACATTTTGGATGCCCGGAGCCAACTGTAGGCCACTTCGTGCTCTTCGACTTCCCAGAACTCCATTCCCGGGCCACATTTTGGATGCCCGGAGCCAACTGTAGGCCACTTCGTGCTCTTCGAGTTCCCAGAACTCCATTCCCGGGCCACATTTTGAATGCCCCGAGCCAACTGTAGGCCACTTCGTGATCTTCGAGTTCCCAGAACTCCATTCCTGGGCATGATTTTGAATGCCCGGAGCCAACTGTAGGCCACTTCGTGTTCTTCGAGTTCCCAGAATTCCATTCCCGGGCCACATTTTGAATGCTGAGGCAGGCTGAGGCTGAGGCTGAGGCAGGCTGAGGCTGAGGCAGGCTGAGGCTGAGGCCGAGGCTGAAGGCAGACTGAGGCTGAGGCTGAAGCAGGCTGAGGCTGAGGCTGAGGCAGGCTGAGGCTGAGGCTGAGGCAGGCTGATGCTGAGGCAGGCTGAGGCTGAGGCTGAGGCTGATGCAGGCTGAGGCTGAGGCAGGCTGAGGCTGAGGCTGAGGCCAAGGCTCAAGGCAGACTGAGGCTTTGGCTGAAGCAGGCTGAGGCTGAGGCTGAGGCTGAGGCTGAGGCAGGCTGAGGCTGAGGCTGAGGCAGGCTGATGCTGAGGCAGGCTGAGGCTGAGGCTGAGGCTGAGGCTGAGGCTGAGGCTGATGCAGGCTGAGGCTGAGGCAGGCTGAGGCTGAGGCCGAGGCTGAAGGCAGACTGAGGCTGAGGCTGAAGGCAGGCTGAGGCTGAGGCTGAGGCAGGCTGAGGCTGAGGCAGGCTGAGGCTGAGGCTGAGGCTGATGCAGGCTGAGGCTGAGGCAGGCTGAGGCTGAGGCCGAGGCTGAAGGCAGACTGAGGCTGAGGCTGAAGCAGGCTGAGGCTGAGGCTGAGGCAGGCTGAGGCTGAGGCTGAGGCAGGCTGAGGCAGGCTGAGGCTGAGGCAGGCTGAGGCTGAGGCTGAGGCTGATGCAGGCTGAGGCTGAGGCAGGCTGAGGCTGAGGCCGAGGCTGAAGGCAGACTGAGGCTGAGGCTGAAGCAGGCTGAGGCTGAGGCTGAGGCAGGCTGAGGCTGAGGCAGGCTGATGCTGAGGCAGGCTGAGGCTGAGGCTGAGGCTGATGCAGGCTGAGGCTGAGGCAGGCTGAGGCTGAGGCCGAGGCTGAAGGCAGACTGAGGCTGAGGCTGAGGCTGAGGCTGAGCAGGCTGAGGCTGAGGCTGAGGCTGAGGCTGAGGCTGAGGCAGGCTGAGGCAGGCTGAGGCTGAGGCTGAGGCTGATGCAGGCTGAGGCTGAGGCAGGCTGAGGCTGAGGCGAGGCCTGAGGCGGCTGAGGCTGAGGCTGAGGCTGAGGCTGAGGCTGCAGGCGGCAGGCTGAGGCTGAGGCAGGCTGAGGCAGGCTGAGGCTGAGGCTGAGGCAGGCTGAGGCTGAGGCAGGCTGAGGCTGAGGCTGAGGCTGATGCAGGCTGAGGCTGAGGCAGGCTGAGGCTGAGGCCGAGGCTGAAGGCAGACTGAGGCTGAGGCTGAAGCAGGCTGAGGCTGAGGCAGAGGCAGGCTGAGGCTGAGGCTGAGGCAGGCTGAGGCTGAGGCTGAGGCTGATGCAGGCTGAGGCTGAGGCAGGCTGAGGCTGAGGCCGAGGCTGAAGGCAGACTGAGGCTGAGGCTGAAGCAGGCTGAGGCTGAGGCTGAGGCAGGCTGAGGCTGAGGCAGGCTGAGGCTGAGCAGGCTGAGGCTGAGGCTGAGGCAGGCTGAGGCTGAGGCTGTGACTGCGACTGCCGTTGCCACTGCGACTGTCATCGCGAATGCGACTACGACTGCGAGAACAGCAGAATTCTACAACTGGATTCTCATCCGAATCTTAAGGGGAATGCTTCCAGATATGCTCCTACACATCGATGTTAGGTTGCTTTGCCGGGATAATTTATCTTGGGGCCTCTGGGGGGCCTCTTGGGAGCCTCTTGGGGACCTCTTGGGGCCTCTTGGGGGCCTCTTGGGGGCCTCCTGGAGGCCTCTTGGGAGCCTCCTGGGGGCCTCTTGGGTCCATCTTGGAGCCTCTTGCGACCTCCTCAGAAGCGCAAATGAGCGCTGCCCCCTGATTTGACCAACATGAGCCCAAAACCTTCGTAACATCAATGATTTTGCTATGAAGGAAGGGGAACGCGGCCCCCTCAGAAGGCCAACATGAGGCCAAAACCATAGTAAAATCAATGGTTTTTGCTTCAAAGACGAGCTGTGGCACCAAACTCCCCCCCCCCTCGGGGCCAGAATCCTCGTGAGGGTCGTCGTTTTTTGGCCCTCCCAGGCGTCGAAAAAGACCCCCCTGACGACGCTCGGAACTCCCTCTCCAGGTCCAGGGGGAGGGGGTAGGGGGATGGGTCAACCCCTCCCCGAAGGGGAAGAAGGGGGGTTGAGGACAGAGAGAGCTCCCTAAACCACTCACGCCCAGAGGGCTGGTGGGACTAAGCCTACTTTTTGAACAAATGAGCGTAATGTCTTGTGTCACTCATGTTATCGTTTCTCATTATGACATTGCAGTTCTTTCACATGCGGTTGTTTTTGTTACAATTGAGGCGTGTGGTTTGATTAGCGCGTTTAGAGTACCCGAGGGGAGCAGCACCGCCATCCAGGGGGCGCATTCGAAGAACATTGATCGAGAGGATTTCTGGAGAAACGTAAGTCTGTGTATGCCGTCGGTTTCCTCTTGGACAGTGCGGGGATCAGCATACACTACATATGGCGCTCGGTGAAACAAGAGAAGGAGCATGTTAGCATAGAAGTAATATGTTGGGTGATTCTTGTTATTCAACAAATCCGCTGCACATGCCAATCGAATGATTACCGCAGGACAAGAACCATTTGTTTTGTCATACGCCGATCTCCTCCTCCTTCCCATTTCCCGACTCGTCCCTCTTCTCCGCCTCCTCCTCCTCTTCATCCTCTTTCCGTTGCAGGGTCCCCTTGGTCCTTGTGTGCCTGTGAGGGGCCACCCTGAGGTGGGTCTCTGCTGCCTGGCCTCGTGGAGCGCCCAGGCACACCCACCTCACATTCGCAGCTGTTTTAGGATAATTGTTCAGTGTTTCTTTGCAGCTGCGATTTTCTCGCTGCAGTGCCCGCTGTTGCTGCGAGAAGTCATTGAAGCGGTGAGGCCTGCCGAGGTCAAAAAAAATCATCCTCTTTCCGTCCCTCACCTCCCTCCCTCACCTCCCTCCCCTTCTCTCCCCCCCCAGACTCCCCAGGCCTCCGGCGCCCGATTTTTGTCCGATGCATGGGCCCAAGAGGTCTGGACCACTTCCCTACACAGTCTAAACCCCTAATAAGGACGCGCATCTTTGCTCAGGGTACCCTTGCGTCCTTGCTCTTCCTTGCTCTTGCGTCCTTGAGGTTTTCGTCGTCCGCCGCCCCAAAAATCCCAGCTTCGGCTTCCGAGGGTCTTGCGTCCTTCCCTCGCGTCCTCATTAGGGTTTTTGACTGTAGGGCCAGTGTCTCGTCATGTGTCGCGTTTTGACCGCCCCCGGGGCCCGTGAAGGGCCCCCCTTGGGGGCCGAACATGGCCCCGCACCGCCCGCCCGCCCCAGTTGTCTCGAGGCACCGGATCTCTGGGTCGCCTCATCCAGCCTCCTGCAACAGGGGAACACAAAGTGGCATAAACATGAGAACTCGGAGGTCCGCGCGGATTTCTCGGATCCGCGCCGGGCCCCCCCGGCGGCGCCTCCGGCGCCCCCCCCGGCGCGCCCCGCGCGCCAGTGAGGGGGGTCCAGCGCCGATCCGAGAAATCCGCGCGGACCATCAAGTTTTTATGTTTATGTCACTTTGTGTTCCCCTATGCAAGCAGATCTAGGTTCCCCAGATGGGGTCGGAGTATATTGGGTCGGAGGATCGCGCCGAGTCGCTGACGCATCGGCAAGGCGGCTCGATGTGGAGCCCGATTTTCTCAACGCCGATGACGCCGATGTGTCGCCGACGTGGGCGATGCATCGCCGATACATCGCTGATGTGGTGCGACCCTCCGACCCGATCCACTCGGGCCCCATCCACTCCGACCTCATCCACTCCAGCCCTCAGAAAGCCTGGGGAGGTGGGCAGGGCTCGCATGCGCCCCCCTGTCTCCTCCCCCCTCCTCCAGCAAGCAAGGGGGGGTGCCAGGTGGAGCCCGACTGCATGAGCTACAATGCGGTCATCGACGCCTGTGCGCGCGTGGGCGACGCGAAGCGCGCGGAGTGGTGGCTGCAGAGGACGTGGGCTGCCGCCGCTGCCAGCTCGGGCGTGGAGCACGGCCCTCGCGTCGTGGACAGGATGTTAACGCCTCCTCCTCCTCCTCCTCCTCCTCCTCCTCCTCCTCCTCCCTCCTCCTCCTCCTCCTCCTCCTCCTCCCCCTCCTCCTCCTCCTCCTCCTCCTCCTCCTCCTCCCTCCTCCCTCCTCCTCCCACCTCCTCTCCTCCTACTCCTACTCCTCCTCCTCCCCTCCTCCTCCTCCTCCTCTCCTCTCCTCCTACTCCTCCTCCTCCCTCCTCCTCCTCCCTGGTCCCTCCTCCCTCCTCCTCCCACCTCCTCTTTCTCCTCCCCTTCCTCCTCCTCCTCCTCCTCCCCTCCTCCTCCTCCTCCCACCTCCTTCTCCTCCTCCTCCCACCTCCTTTCTCCTCCTCCTCCTCCTCCTCCTCCTCCTCCTCCTCCCCTCTTCTCCCCTCTCCCCCTCCCTCCTCCCTCCTCCCCCTCCCCCTCCTCCCCCCTCCCTCCTCCTCCTCCTCCTCCTCCTCCTCCCCTCCTCCTCCTCCTCCTCCCCCTCCCCCCCCCCTCCCCCTCCCCCTCCCCCTCCCCCTCCTCCTCTCCCTCCCCCTCTACCCTCCTCCCTCCTCCCCCTCCTTCTCCGTCCTCCCGCCTCCTCCCTCCTTCCTCCTCTCTTCTCCCTCCCCTTCTCCCTCCCCTCTCTCCTCCTCCTCTCCTCCTCCCTTTGTCCTCCTCCCTCCTCCCTCCTCCCTCCTCCTCTCTTCCTCCTCCCTCCTCCGTCCTCCCTCCTCCCTCCCTCTTCTTCCTCCTCTTCTTCCTAGTCCTCCTATTCCTCCCCTCCTCTTCCCCTCCTCCCTCCTCCTTCCCCCCCTCCTCCTCCTCCTCCTCTCTCCTCCTCTCCTCCTCCATCCTCATCTTCCCTCCTCCTCCTCCCTCCCTTCTCCTTCCTCCCCTCCCCTCCTTCCTCCTCCCCTCCCTCCTCCTCCTCCCTCCCCCATGCAGGGCTCATCTCGACGCCTCGGGTTCGACTCGTTTATAGGTCGGTGGTTCTGTATTGCGGATTGCGATTCGGATTCCGATGTCTCGTTTGAGGCGTATTAGTTTGTTTGCCGATGTTTGCCGATTCAACTTCCCGCGCCGATGACCAGCTTCTATCTCGAAGAAGAAGTCTCACAGCGTTAACATAAGTTTTTGGAGCTCCGCGCGGATGTCTCGGATCTACGCTTGGGCCCTCCTGGCGGTGCCTCCAGTGCCGCCCCTGCTGTGCTCCGCGCGCCAGGGCGGGAAATCCGGCGCAGATCCACGAGAGCCGCTCGGACGCCCAAACAACACATATTCATGCAGGGCATCATTCCTCCTATGACCACCTCCAGACGTCCCTCATGATTCACCTCGTGAGGGTGGATATTGAATGAGGGCGATGCCTCGGCGCATACTGCCGCGCGCCTGCTGCCAGTTGCGATGGCATTCTGAAGCCTGGGAGAATCGGGCTGGGAAGGAGGGTGGAATTGAGGAGGATGAAGATGACGACGCGGAGGTTGAGCACGCGAAGGAGTGTCAGAGGCAGAGGCGATGCGGAACCAGAGAGTGTTCAGCATGTTGTCACAGCCGCCAGGATGTGGAAGTCGTCCATTACACCCAACGTCGTCACGTACAGCTCCGTAGTACACGCGTGTGCCAAGGCCTGCTTGACTTCACGCATCTCTTTGAGAGGTTTGCGCTGGATCATCATGGGAGTTCGCGCCTGTCGCGCAAGAGCGGATAAATCATGTCTTGACTCCTCGTGTATCTTTCTTGGCCCGTGCATAAAACGATACCTAGGCGAGATGCCTTGATCAGGAGAGTGTAGGGGAAAACACTGGAACGACAAGGGGGCGCAGCCTCCAAACCCAAGCCGGGGATCAACCTTATCATACCCAGGAGCCAACCATATCATACATGCCTTCCCGGGTCTATCGGTATGTGAGCCTCTTGGCGGCTTGCCTGGTCCATCTTGGGTTTTTCTTAGGGCCATTTCGTAGGCCGTTGGGGTTCTCTAGGATTTTTTTGTTGGATCGTTTGATGGGCCTGTTTTCCACCACCACCATAAAGTCGGAGGGGGGAAGGAGGTGGAGGATGAGGAAGAGGAGGAAGAAGACGAGGGGGAGGAGGACCCGCTCCCCTCGCGAAATCCTGATCGCGACCCCAGGGGAGCGGGGGGGCGGAAGACAGACCCCTCCCCGAAGGGGAAGATGGGTGGAAGAGTAAGCTCCCTGAACGACACGCTTCCGCCCAGAGTGTTGGTGGCTTCTTGGCGATCTCGCGCAGCTCACCGGCCATCCAGAAACGATGCCCGGGCGAGGTGCCCTGATCAGGGAAGTGCAGGGGTAAGCAGGGATCGACACGGGAGGGCAGCTGTCAGGCCGAAAGATCGGGATCAGCCCGACCATACCCAGGAGCCAACCACACACGCCTTCGCGGGTCGATCAAAATAGGTTTTTTTTGTTTACAGTGGCGTTTTTAATACATGCTCCGCGTGTGGATCATGCATTAAACATACAAGGATTTAGTATTAAAAACAACGATGAGTTCATGCATGAATATGTTCATACATTAATGATGTATTAAAAAACATGTGTGTTTTTTTTAACTTATGCATTACAACCTGCCCTGTACCCAGGAGCCAACCATACACGCCTTCGCGGGTCTATCAAAATAGGATCCTTTTGCTCAGGGCCCTCTCCGGCCCAATTTGGAGGCTGTTGAAGTTCTCTTAGGGGCCTTCTTGGGACTCTCTTGGGGGCCCCGCGGCCCTCGGGACCCTTTGGGGCCCAGCCAAGGCGGGATTCTCGATGAGCGTCGCTCCGTCAGCAATTCGCCGGCCTACTTTGGGGCCCTCTTTGGGACTCTCTTGAGGCACACTTCGGGCGCTCCTGGGACCATCTTCTTGGAGATCTTCTGGGCCCCTCTACAGTCAAAAACCCTAATAAGGACGCGCGTCCTTGCTCAGGGTACCCTTGCGTCCTTGCTCTTCCTTGCTCTTGCGTCTCCGTCCTTCCTTGGTTTCGTCTTGGGGTTTTCATCGTCCGCCGCCCCAAAAATCCCAACTTCGGCTTCCAAGGGTCTTGCGTCCTTACCGCGCGTCCTTATTAGGTTTTTTTGCTGTAGCGTCGGTCCGTAAGATTTCGATGGCGTGCCTTGGGGCCCTCGTGGGACTCTCTTGAGGCGCACTTCGGGCGCGCTTGGGACCATCTTGGAGGTCTTCTGGGCCCCTCTACCTGGCATCGCTCGGACATGTGTATTTTTTCTCGGCGAGGACCCTTGAGGACCATCCTGGACCATCGAGCAACAAAAAACACGCACGAAACCGAGAAATGCACGGGAAATGGACGTCCGAGCGACGGCAAGGGGCTTTGATGGGCGATCTTGGAGCCCCCTGGAGGCACGCATGAGAAGCCCATCGGAAGCAAAAAGAAGAGGTGGAGTGGGGAGTTGAGGAGTTCATGCACGCCAGAAGACGCAGGGATCTCATAAGCACATGGCTGTTTCTGAGCATCCTGGAGGAATGCCAGAGGCCATCTCCAACTTAGACCATTTGGCGCCATCTTGGAGTCCATCTGAAGGCGTCTGGGGCCGTCTTGGAGCCATTTTGACCCAAGTGCATCTCAATAGTGCCCCTGAGGTGCCAACACACCTGAGGTGTTTCAATGATTTTGGCTGCGAGCGAAGGGGGGTTCCTTGATTAGCGTTGCCCCGCCAGAGCCCGAACCACTGTATCTCTCGTGATTTGGGATAGAACTTGGAACCATCCGAAGGCCTCATGAGTCCATGGGCAGAGAGAAGACGAGATGACACAACTCATTTCCAACCACATGTTGATACGAATGGCTTTGGCCTCTCCGGCCTCTGACGGTGGGTCTGTGCTCGCTTGCAACCGCATTGTGTCGGTATTGAAGACTCTTGCGGGCAATCTGCCCCCTAGAGGCCCAGGGCAACGCTGGGCGGGGGAGGGGCAAGCTCAGGGGAACGTTTCGACTCCCACTCGCCCAGCAATCGCCGACGGGGCCCCCATTCCCCCCTCTGCGCCTAGGAGCTTGCGGTTCCGGTCTCGGCGAGCCCTCGCCGATCTGCCAGCGGCGTATGGATGTACAGGTATGTATATACAGACAAATAAGTGAGACCGGAGAAAAAAAAACGATCATGATATTTTTAGGGCTGTAGAGCTATGGGGCGATACGGTTATGGGGCCACAGGGCCAGGGCTATAGGACTACAGGGCTATAGGGCTATAAGAACATAGGGCTATAGGGCTACAAGGCAATAAGACTATAGGGCTATAGGCCCATAAGGGCTATAGGGCGATTGGGCTATAGGGCATAAGGACTATAGGGCTATAGGGCTATAGGGCTATTAGGGCATTAGGGCATTAGGGCTATAGGGCTGTAGGGCTATAGGGCTATAGGTCTATAGGTCTATAGGTCTATAGGGATATAGGGCTATAGAGTTACATGGCTATAGGGCGATAGAGCACCCGGGCACCCCGGGGCACCCAGGCACCCCAGGGCACCTCCGGGCACCCCTGGGCACCTCCGGGCACCCCCGAGCACCCGGGCACCCGGGCGTGTGGCGAAAATCGGCGGTAAACCTAACCTAACCATATGAATCCGCTAGGACCCCTACAGAGGCAAGCTTTGATTGGGGAGTATATGCAGACATACATCTGTGTATATATACACATACACGTATATATGTATATACATATAAACACACACACATATATATATATATATATGTACGCGCCCTGTCGTAATTCCACACCCTTACTGACATGACAAGTTTAATCTATTTGGGAGATCGTTTCCTCGCTTTTACGCTTCAAGACGTTATCTGAGGGCTTCGTAGTGCTGGGATAGTCGACGCCTCCTTCTTCTTGGCCAGGACCCACATCTGCGTGAATACGCTTGCTTTCCTTCCCTACTCCAGCTCTCCAACAGGTCCCCGCTCCCCAGATTCGAGACCAGTGGGGAGGACGGTAGTGCGACAGGGGGGGGGGGGGGGCGGACACACAAAATATGATTCCCCTTCGCATTCCGCTCCTGGAGGACCCTGTACGGTGCCTTCTCTTTTGCAAGCGGCGTGGTCTACGATTGCGCCAATCCAGAGTGCAGGTGGGCGGCAAGCAAGGCGAGAGTAGTCAAGGAGGCCAGCGCGCGGTACCTTCATGTGTTCCACATCCAGATGAGGTCGTTGCGCAGGCATCGCCCGCCAAGCGCTGTGCACTGGCTCGGTCGTTGGTGATTACACATGTGCGGTTTTGATGCGCGGTGCTCGGCATAGCTAAGCATTGCTAAGCAGGGCCTGCCACTGCTTAGCTAGGCCGAGCAATACTAGCCAGGACTCTGCCAGGCTTAGCAGGGCTTAGTGAGGCTTACCAAGTTCACATGAGCTTAGCTTGAGCTCCCGCAAGGCTTTCCAAGCTCAAGGTTTTTCAGAGCCCGCCAGGGCATAGCGAAGCTTATCAGAGCTTGGCAGTGCTCAGCGGGGCACGCCGGGACTTAGCAGGGCCTAGCGGACCTGGCCAGGGCCTCGCTGTGCTTGTCCGACTCAGTAGGCCTTAGCACGGTTTGCGGTGCCTTATCCGGGCCGAGCAAGGCTGACTAGGCCTTAGCAGGGCTTCGCAAGGCCCAGCAAAACCCAGCAAGGTTTAAGGCAGCGCAAGGGCTGGCAGGGCTTAGAGAGGCTCGCGGCTTCTCAGCAACCACAGCAGGGCTTAGCAGAGCTTGGCAGCATTTAACAGGCACAGTAGGGCCCAGCAGAGTTTACAAGGCCCCAGCATGCCACACCGAGGACCAGCAAGGCCTACCCTGTTTTAGCAATACCTAGCAGGGCTCAGCAAAGTTTGGGGCGGGTTGAGGCTTCGCAAGGATTTCAGGGCTTGGCAAATATTGTCAAGGTTCGTTTGGCCTTCGAGAGGCTTACCGAGCGTAGCAGGGCGTAGCAGAGCTAAGCACCGCTCACAAAGGCACGCCGAAGCTTACCGACGCTTACCTATGCCCAGCAAGGCGGGCCAGGATTGAGCACAGTTCGGCAGAGCCAGCGCTTGGTAAGTGGAGCTGGGCTTGGCAAGGTTGCAGGGCTTCGAAGCTTAGAGCGGCTCGGCGAAGCCCTGCAAGGCTCAAGGTTTCACAAGGAGTTGTAGGGCTTCGCGGGCTTTGCCAAGGCTGGGCAAGTCCCGGCACGAATTAGCAACGCTTGCGAAGTTCGCTTGGGCTAAGCCAGGTTTACCGAGCTTAGCATGGCCTAGCAGAGCTCACCAGAGCTTAACAGGGCATCGTAGACCGCATCAGAGCAGACCAGCGGCTGGCAAGGCGGACAAGGGCTGCGCAGGGCTCCGCCGAGCTTGCCGGGGCCCAGCACGGCGCACCCGGATTTGAGCAGGGATCTGCAGAGCGGGCCAGGGCTTCGCAGTGCCAGACAACGTTTTGTGGGGTGTGGCAGGGAGGAGGAGGAGGAGGAGGAGGAGGAGGAGGAGGAGGAGGAGGAGGAGGAGGAGGAGGAGGGGGAGGGGAGGGGGAGGAGGAGGGGGAGGGGGAGGAGAGGAGGAGGAGGAGGAGGAGGAGGAGGAGGGGAGGAGGAGGAGGAGGAGGAGGGAGGAGGAGGAGGAGGAGGAGGGGGAGGGGGGAGGGGGGGAGGAGGAGGAGGAGGAGGATACCAGGTTTAGCGTGGCTCACCCCGGCTTGCAACATTTGCCACGCCTCAGCTGGGGTCTGCAAGCCTCAGCTGAGCTTAAGGTTTCGACAGATCACGCATGACTGAGCAACGCTTGCCAAGGCTTGGCGATGCTTGGCATCGTTGTCGATCATTGGCCGCGCGTTTGTTTAGTGCATAACGCAAACAGGTGCCAATCGTGCACACAACTTTTTGGGAAGGTGGTTCGCGAGAGCAGGAAGGATATTGATATGCATCGGGGTGAAGGCCCGCGCGCAGAAAAAAACATCGCCACCAGTGTGAGGAACGCCGCCATCGGTTTAAGCAGGGGTGATACGCCAGTGCCTACATGTACATGTATATTGCGTACGTATGTATGTATACGTGTATGCATGCATGCATGTATGTGTATGCATTCATATGTGTTATATATACATATATATATATATATATATATATACCTGTATTGTATGTAGGTCCAGCTCAGCTGCCCACTGCAAATCCCGCCACCGTGTTTGGGCTGTGGGGGTGAAACTTGCCGGGTGTTCGATGGGATCTGGGAGGCCTTTCGGGGGCCTCGTTGGAGGTTTTTTGGGGGCCTCCTGGGAGCCGTTTGGTGGAGGAGGCTTTAGGGCCTCTTAGGGGCCTCTTGGCGGCCCCTTGGGGTCTCCTCCTGGGCGCCTCTTGGGGCCTCATGGGGCCTCATGGGGTCTCTTGGGCGGACGGCTCGGGCTTTCGTTTCCAGGGGGGGGTGTAGTCCTGGGGTCCAGCTGTGCCGTTTTGAGTGCATTCGGGGTCGTTTCGTTGCGTTGTTAGACAGTTGTCGGGCCCTTTGGGGGGCCTGTTGGACTGTTTTGGGGTGGTATTGGGGGTGTTTTGCTTTGTTTTGGGGCGCCAGGAAGCCGAACAGGCGAGAACGCTATCATTTTTCGAAACCTTTCTGGACATCAGAGATTTCTGCGTATTCGTGCCCTCGCGGGAATATTCTTGGAGGCCTTCGGGGGCGTTCCTGGGTGTTTTCGAGCGATCGTTCGGCGACTCGGCGTCCCCTTGGACCGTCTTGCGGGCTTCCTGGGCCGTCGTGGAAGCCTTGGAGGGCCCCAGAGAGGTGCCATGGACCCCGCGTGAGTAAGGCCTAAGCGCGCGGCGAGGTGCGGCGGGGAGGCGAGGGGTCTTTTAGAGGACCACAAAAACCTTACCAGAGACAGTACTTGCTGGCATTTCACGCCTCAACGCGCCATTGGGGCATTGGTGGCGGACACGCACACACCTACACATATACAAACACATATATATACATATATATATATATATATATATATATAGGTGCACGCGTACGTGTATATATTTGCAGACACATATGGGTACACAACGTTTCAATCATCTTCGTGTACATACATTGCACGCAACCAGACAGCCAACCATACAAACATACTCATAGACACAATCATACATGTATACCTACATGTACACGTACACATACAGTTGCACACTCATACACATATGCACATGCATATGCAACCACTGTATGTACACACTTGGGTGCACACATACATACATACATACATACATACATACATACATACATACATACATACATACATACATACAGGCAAACATACAAACACACAACCCGATACGCATACATACATACATACATACATGCATACAACAATCGATACATACATGCATGCATATATGCATGTATGCATGTATGCATGCATACAGTTATACACACCTACGCGTACATCCATATATGCATGCATGAAGACAAGCAGACAGGCAGACAGACAGACGGACAGCCAGCCATACATACATACTATCTATGTATTGCCGATGCCCGTGCGATGCTTCCCCCCCTGAGTTGGTCTCCCCGTATCCTCCCCCCGCTGGGAAGATCAGGGAGGAGGGAGGGGGAGAAGGTGGGCGGAGGAGGAGGGAAACGAGACGGAGGGAGGGAGGGAGGAGCAGGGAGAAGAGGGGGAGGAGGAGGAGCAAAAGGAGGAGGAGGAGGAGGAGAAGGAAAACCAGTGTAAACCCAAGTGTCATCAACGATGTTGGAGTAAACCCTCCCTTCAAGCTCCCTCTTTATAGGCCCCTACGACGGTTCATTTCCATTGAGGGAACCGCTTCGTTGGAAGACAACCGTTTGAAGACCCTGAAGCATGCCAAACATCATTCTCGGGATTCCAACGCCACTGGTCAACTTGATTGTTGCGTTTTGACGATCCGTCATCGTGCTATGACGCCATTTCAGGGATTTCAGCACACAGAAACAATTTTGAATCTTAATATAACACCTTTTCTGGTACGTTCATGGTGGGAATCCGTGAAATTCTTGCAGATGTTTAAAGCGAATATGCGCCGCGCTAAGGTGAGAGCCACATTTTGAAAAAGAACCGCCTTCGATTCGCGAAATTCTTGCGAATGTTTGAAACGCATGTGCTCTGCGCTGAGGCGAGAGCCACATTTTGAAAACGACCTGCCCTTAATCCGTGAAGCTCTTGTAAATTTCAAAGCGAATTCGCGCCGCGCTAAGGCGATAGCCACACTTTGAAAACCACCCGCCCTCAATCCGTGAAGCTCTTGCGAACTTTTACAGCGAATGTGCGCCGCGCTAAGGCGAGCTCCACATGTTGAAAACGACCCGCCCTCAATCCGTGAAATTCTGAAAATTTGTGACAACAAATCTGCGCCGCGCTAAGGCGGGAGCCACATTTTGAAAACCACCCGCCCTCTATCGGTCAAGCTGTTGCCAATTTTCAAGCTTCAGAATCATAAGTGATGAGGAAATCTCAGGCGACGCGCCCGGCCCGCCCTAAAACCTGGCCGCGGGGTGCGACAGGGAGAGGTTATTTACAAGGAAACGAAATGGAGGAGGAGCAGGAGCAGGAGGAGGAGGAGGAGGAGGAGGAGGAAGGATGACACAACGTCTGAAGACATTCGTGCCGCCAGGAACCCAGGAACCAGCAGGAGGAGGAGGAGGGGGAGGAGGAGGAAATTGAGGAGGAGGAGGACAAGGAGGAGGAGGAGGAGGAGGAGGAGGAGGAGGGGACGGGCGAGGAGGAGTGGGAAGGGAACGCTCCCCCCCCACCCGGCGAGGCTGGGGATATGACGCGCGCCGAGGGTTGGCTCCGCCAGATGGTGAAGGCCGTGGGCGAGGGGCTCCTCCTCCTTCCTCCCCTCCCCGTCACCCCTTCCCCTACGTGGCCCTACGTACCCCTCCGAAGAGATCCGAGGCTCTGAAACACTTAGAGCGGCCAGTCTTGGGCCGCTTTCGGCTTTCCAGGGGCTCTAGACGAGCCCAGGAGCTGTCGGAAAACAACTCGGGACGAGAAGCTTTCTAGCCCGGGCGCAGCGGTCCCGCCCCCGGGAGGTCCACGCATCGAAACAATTGGAGCGCCGGAGGTCTGGACCCTCCTCCCTTCTGAGTCTCTGGAAAGCGCCCCGGGCATGACACAGCGAACACACACACACACACACACACACACACGCACGCGCACACGCACACGCACACGCAAACGCGCACGCACACGCGCACGCGCACGCGCACGCGCACGCCCACGCACACGCACACGCACACGCACACGCGCACGCGCACGCGCACGCGCACGCGCACGCGCACGCGCACGCGCACGCGCACACGCACACACGCACACTTACACGCACACCCGCGCACGCACACACACACACACGCACACGCACACGAA